GAGATATGTGAGCAATTCAAGATAATGCACCGGAACTCTACTCCTTATCGGCCTAAAGGCAATGGTGCCGTTGAAGCAGCAAACAAAAACATCAAAAAGATTTTGAGAAAGATGATTCAAAGTTCCAGGCAGTGGCATGAAAAGTTGTCGTTTGCATTGTTGGGATATCGCACTACTGTGCGCACATCAATTAGAGCCACCCCGTATCTTTTGGTTTATGGCACGGAAGCCGTAATACCCGCCGAGGTCGAAATCCCCTCTCTCCGAATCATTGTTGAAGCTGAAATTGAAGACAGTGAGTGGGTTAAAACCCGTCTGGAACAATTAACCTTGATCGATGAAAAACAAATGGCTGCGGTCTGCCACGGGCAGTTGTACCAACAAAGAATAGCTCGTGTCTATAACAAAAAAGTGCGACCTAGAAATTTTGAAGTGGGCCAACTCGTTTTAAGGCGTATTCTTCCCCATCACCAGGAAGCAAAAGGAAAATTCCCTCCTAATTGTAAGGGCCCATACGTCATCAGAAAGATATTGCCAAGAGGAGCATTGTATCTGGGCGATATCGAAGGAAATGATCCTAAAACAGCTGTAAATGCAGATGCGGTCAAAAGGTACTATGTCTAATCCTTTTGCAGCAATAACATTATCCAATTGGGATGACGAAGGCTTTCATTCTCGTTACCCCAAACACTCCAATCCTTTGCTAACCCTTTGAGTCGTTTACCTTTCTTTCAGTACCCTCTTTGGAACCTGAAAGTATTATTTATAAAAAATAACAAAAAAAGAAGAGAAAACAAAACAGAAAAAACAAAAGAAAAATCAAAAACAAAGTTTCCTGAACTACGTCTGACTTGATTCCGAAAGGATACGTAGGCAGCCTCTCTCTGGGGTTCAGTCACACCAAAATAAAAATCAAAATTCCTTCAAAAGTGAAACTGGGGCAGATGTTGTAATGGTCCCGCGGTAATTCCGTTTGAATGGTTCCAAAGTTGTAATTCGATCCAAATCATTTTTACCCAAATCCTTTCAAGTCCTTCCGATCAATCGGTGAGAATGTTCAAGGATCAGAGAATACAGCTACTTGGATCCGATGCAATAAAAATGAGAGAAATAATATGAGAGAGTTTTATTGGTGAAAACTCACACGGGCACCATAAGGCAACGGTGAGCAAACAAATTGAAAATGAGAGAGCCTGTTTAGTGAATAACTCGTAAAAAGTGCTATCAGGCGACGGTGAGAAGAGAAATGAGAGAGGTCGATTGACGAAAACCTGCAAAGGGTGCCGTCGATCAAAAAAAAGACACCCCCACCATTGAAAGAGTCCTAGCCAGGTTTCTCGATTTGGAGATGTGGTTCACAATGAGTTGGATAGTTGTGCATATCGGGTATCCAGTCCAAGAAGCATGTCATGTCTATTGAAGTCTGCATGCACCCCAGATAAGTCCTTCTTTCCCCCAAAAAGGACGCTTCTCCTTAAATTCATTTTTTTTTCTTGTCCTTTCTTTACTTTTCCTTGAATCCCTTTCGGTCTAACTCTATTCCGAAACTAATACGAAGAAAAGGTGGCAAGATTGGTTTTACAGGGTTTTGATTAATAAAGCCAAGTCCAAAGAAAAGTACCCAGCCTCAGTGGGTGCATCAAGTCGATCCNTTTTGATTAATAAAGCCAAGTCCAAAGAAAAGTACCCAGCCTCAGTGGGTCCATCAAGTCGATCCCAACTGGCCATGATAGCCGATGCTCTGAAATCAGAGTTATTGAAAATGAAAAGAAATCCAAAGTCAAAAGTCCCTTGATGCAGATTAAATGGAAAGGGTCAAAGCCTTATACGGTTGAGCCGTCATGATAAATTTTGAAAGTTGAGTTCCTCGATTTTAGGAGAGAGACCAATCTTTAGTAAAAGCCAGCAAGCGGCAGAGTTTCTCGCCAAAAGAGTTGGGCCGAGATCGAGTTGATCAAAAACAATGAAGTCCACAAAACCGACCACCGTTTCAAACTAACAATTGTTCTTTGTTTGAAAATTGAAACAGGTGTAATCCAAAGCAACAGTGCAAGAAGCAGATGCAACCAAAATGGAAAAGAAATGTGCAAGCGTTAGGAATAGTTTAGCAACAATAATCAATCCAAAAGGGAAGTCTTCCTCCAAATTCTTTCCTGCATTCTTTTTACTAAAAAAATGAATTGAAAGAAAATAGATAAAAAGAAAATAAAAAAAGGGGGTAGTTTAGAAGCCCTAAAATCAATCTTTCGTTTTTTTGCCGACATTAGGGCTCCAATCCCTAAGTTGAGATTTTAGACATAGGGCCTCCATTCCCTAGTCGCCTTTACCAATATTAGGGCTCCAATCCCTAAGTTGAGATTTTAGACATAGGGCCTCCATTCCCTAGTCGACTTTACCAATATTAGGGCTCCAATCCCTAAGTTGATATTTTAGACGTAGGGCCTCCATTCCCTAGTCGCCTTTACCAATATTAGGGCTCCAATCCCTAA